GGAGGAGGCGGAGGAGGAGGAGGAGGAGGAGGAGGAGGATGAGGAGGTACAAGACATACAAGCCATAGAGACGCCAGCAAGTCACCCGCAAGCGCCCTGATGATTAAAGAGAGAGCCCCATCCACTTACCCGACCGTGCGTCGGTGCCTGGACCTCCAGCGCCGTCAACGTGCCGAAATAGAAGGCGCACGCGGCGGGGGGGGGAGGCGACACGACGACGACGGGGGGGACGGGGCCAACAAAATTACTCCTGGGGGGCGGCCCCTGAGAGTTTTAAACCAGTCTTCGGGTGCAGGCCATCGCGGATATTCGCAAGAGGCTTCCTCACCCGATCAGGCAGCACCCCCGAACTCGGGGGCTTGCACACCGAACGCAGCTTGGGCCCCATCCTCTGAGCACAATACGACCCGCACGCCGTGCAGAAGATATATGGGCCTGCACGCTCCATCACGTGCCCAAGAGAAGTGAACACCTGAAACTCACACTCCCCATCCCCCCCCCCCCCCCCAGGCCTAGGCTCCGAGACCGATCCAGACCCAGGCACACCAGAGCTAGACGCGGGCACAGCCCCAGAAACCTCGGGCCCCAGGGCCTCCAAAGCGCCAGACATCGCAGACTGGACCGCCTCTGGCCTGGCCAGAGGGGGTCGCAGCGGCATACAATCCACCTTTGGAAAACGCCAGGCGGGCACGCTCACGCTGCAACGGGGAGGGGTTGCACTCTCGCCCACTGCCTTGAGTAAGCCATTTACGCGAAGCCTCCGTTTTCGCCCTGGCCAGGCAGGAGCGACAGACCATGAAATCACCAGTTCGCCAGAAATCATGTTCCTGGAAGCGGAGGAGGGGGGGCGCACGGAGGAAACGAGCAACATCAGCAGCAGGCCTAGGGATATCCATCTCCCGAAGGGCCTCCAGCTGCCCACCCACAACCTCCTTATGCGCCGCATGCTGGGCAGCAGCCCAGCCAAAAAAATGGCATTGTTCCTGCCAATGGCAAGCTGATCAGACCAGTAACCAACAAAATAATCAGCGACCTTATGCGAGCAGGCCCCCATCTTGGCGAAGAAATCCGCCCACATATTGCCAAACCACCAAGACACGGGCCATTGTCCTCGCTCGAGAAACTCCTCCAGAGAGAGATGAGCAGGCACCCATTCATACATGGGAGCCTTCGGGTTATCCCTCCCCTGAGCGACTAAAAATTTGCCTCCAGGTATCAGCATGGGCGGCCGCGGCAGACGCATGCTCAGGAGACCATTCAACCCTCTCACGCACAGCCCCAAGGAGGTCCGAGACAGACAGCACTAAACGCGGCAACAACTGGAGCCCCCGCAATAGCGCGTGTCTTTCAGCTCGGCCAACCGACTGGATGGGGCCTGGGAGCGGACCGTAGGCCGCACGAACTGGGAGTCCAAACTCTCCCATCTGAACAGCCGACCATCCGCAACGCCTGAATTCTGGCCAGGCGCTGTGCATCCCAGACCCATCAAAGAAGGCAGTTGGACCCCATCCCTCAGGCTTCGACCCCCAGTCCCCCCCGAAGAAGGTGGGAGGCACAGAGGACGGAGGGGGGAGATCAGGAGGAGCCTGGGGGAGCCCAATACAAAACTACAGCAGGTGAAAACTGTCCTGCCCCAAGACATGGACTCCCTCCTCAGACAGACGATCACGCGTTTTTTTCCATCTCCTCGGACCAGGCTGGCAGACCGCCAGCATCATTCTGTTCAAGCAAATTCGGACATGCGTACCACAGATGACCAAGGTCTCCAACAGCACATCGTTCGCGACAGTCGGGATGTGGGCAGTGTGGCGTAGGCAACCATCTTCGTTGATGCCGCTTCTGCACAGTCATGAAGCCACCAGCCCGCAGGCAACGAAGAGCTCCCGCGACCTGTGCATTCTTGATGGTGGCTGCCTTACCACCAACGGTAAGATGCACAGCTCGCATCCACAACGACTCGCCTCCCTCCAAGTGTTCGGCATGATGCTCCAGAATCCTCCGGCCTTGCCACCGTTGAACCCCAAAGGCGCAGCAACTTTCGAACATCTTTGGGAGGCATCTTTAACAGCGAAATCACCATGCCCGTGTCACTGACAATCAGCGTGCTACTAGCCATCTCCCAGCCTACTCTTCGCAAAGACAGCCATGTCGCAGCTATCGGTCCTCGAACCCCCTGCCAGCCTGGATCACGTCCATGCCACAGGTCTTGGAGTGCACGCCACGCCCGCTCGAGCTTGCCCATGTCCATCCTCATGTCGAACACGAAACAACTGTACATATACACCATGTTGAGCGTCGCGTCGAAGATCGGGTCCATGTACGGGTCGCGCTGAGACACCAAGTAGGCCGTGACACTGACCCCTTTGGCGTGAACCCCAGCGATACTCCAGCCGTCTGCCTCTGAGCTGCTTCAGGTCACAGTCGGGAACGCCCGAGACCGAGCTGCCGTGCGCGGCCCCCGCCAGCAGCCCAGACCGCCAAATGGCCCCCACTTTGGAACCAGCAGCCTTCTGGAGCACCTTGACGCGCCCCATTCGTTTCTGCAGCTTATCCAGACGTCCTTTAGCAACCGTTCGAATCACACGGCCACCGACCATATCATGTCCCAAGTTGCGCATCTGCTTCCTCTGAGTGAGCCTCAGCACCTTGGCCCACGGAGAAAACTTCTTGAGCGCCTCTCGGGTGGTGCCCACGTAGCCCGACTTGACAGGCTGAACCAGCAGGCCGAGCCTTCTCATGCCACTCTTGAAAATGCGAGTAGCCTTGACCAGCTCAACCATCTCTTGCAAGTCCTGCCCCACCCACTGCAAGGTTCCATCGCCCGCAAGAGCCCGAGGGTGAATAGTCGGACAAATCTCCTTCACACTAATCAACGTACGAATCATCAACACCGTCAGCAGAGTCGTGGCGTGAGTGCATCCAGGCAGGATACCTTGCCCCACCCCGTGTAGGACTGACACCGACCCAAACGCTTCCACAGCCCGAGGCATTTTGTAAGAAGTCACCAACTGCCAAAGTAGTCGCAAAGGGTAGCCAACTTCCCGAGCCTCACTAAACAGACTGCTGACCTTGACCGTGTCGAAGCACTTCCACATGTCTATCATCACCGTGAGCGAATGCTCGCCCAGCAGCTTAGACATCTCCGCCATCGCGTTATGCATGAAGGCCGACCCCGACGACGAGTACCCCTTCCTACTGCCCCAGGCCATCTCCGAGGGAAACTGCTGCAACCATTGCCGTGAAAGTTCTCGTCGGACTCTCGCCCAAACACGTATCAGCGTGTGAATGAGAGCCGCCAGTCGAGTTCCGCCTCCGTCCTTCGGAATCATAGCCATCTCAGAGTGAATGCGATCCACTGGCCAGAGAAGCAAGTCCTCGCACCTCATGAAGAAAGAGGCCATGGCCCCCAAAGCCTCACGCGATAAGAACCACAACGATCTGGGCTGCAGCTTCGACGGACCAGCTGCCGTCTTCCACTTGAAAGAGAGGATAGCCTGAACCATCATATCCGTGGTGATGTAGGGCAGAGAAGGCCAACTGGCACTGTCGGTCGGCAACAGGATCTCGCTATCCTCATGCACCGTCCACACCTTCAACCACTTTTTCATTTCACGATCAGCCAACTCGTGTGGTGATTGCTCGCTGCCTGCCTCGATGATCTCCTGGGTCGCCTGTAACCTAGTGAAGCGATGCGCACCACTAGCACCTTTCTCAAAGGCTGAATCTACGAACCTCTTCCATCGAGCACGATTACACTTCTCATGAGCAGACGACAGGCGATCGTGAGCACCTTGGATGTTAGCAAACACCTGGTCAAAATCATCACGCGCCAATAGATCAAATCAAGATGACGGCAAGAAGAATTCAGAAACCCATGCAGGTAGAGCTTGCAGAGTACTTTCGCAACCGCGAACTCCATGCATAAAACGAGCGAATTCCACCGGCACCTTCGCCAGTGCAGAGTGATCGGCCAGAACGTTCACAATTCTGTTCCCGTCCTGCCAAATCAGAAGCTTGTCAACCAACTTGGCAACGTGCTCCTTGACCCTCCTGCAATGGACGACCCACTTTAGAGCAACAATCCAAGCCCGTAGCTCAGGACCATGCTGCAACCGTCGACGAGGAGGTCGCCACTTGGCCTGTGCCATCTGGGTAAGTAGAGGGCCACCACGTCCAGACGTCGACGAAGCCTTTACTCCATCTACACAATCATAGACACCCTGCAATTCAAATTCCAGTCCAGCCAGCAACGCGTCCCAAGCCAAGCTCAAGTCGTCGCTGGTTTGAGCATAAAAAAACTTGCCATTCAACCTCACTCCAATCCAATGGAAATCTCTCACATCCGATAGGCGGCGTCTTCGAGAAGGGAGCTGGCTCCACCACCTGTCGAACCCATGCTGGCCTGTCTTCAGCTAACGCGGGCAACTCCACAGGTAAGTGAATTTTGATATTACTGTCGTCAACCACTTGAGGCCGTCGAACTCGAGTTCCCAAGTTGGCGCATACCAGAGCGTAATCAATGATACTGCCAGGCTGCTCCAACAAACATGTGGGCCTCGAAGGAGCCGCAACGAAGCCACTCACACCTGCCAACCATCCAGAAGAAAGCAAATCAGGCGTGAGGTTCCAATCTCCCATGACAATCCAGTCGCGCCCTATAGCATTCAACACTGCAAGATATCTCGCGATCTTCACCAGCAAGGCCTCATTTGCTGCACTCATTCCCTCACCAGAGATAAGATACACAGCTATAATTACGACACCTCCTGGTACCATCCAGGAAACATCTGCAGCAGCGATACGACCTGGCTCCAGCTCATGCTCAGGGAGCTCCGGAGGCGCCTTCACCACGATGTGCGTCGGAGCCAGGATGGCGACTCCACCTGATCGCCCAGCAGCCTCTGTCTCCACAGCGCCACCAAAGAAGCCATGGAAACCAATATCACGAATATGAGACTGCAAAGATGGAAGATGCTTGGCTAAAGATGCTTGGACCTGCACGTCTCCATGAACATTTTGAAAGGTCCAGCACCCTCCACATTGGCAGATGTGATCACTCCCTTCAACCTGAGATCAATATTCGACTGCCGACCAGTCGCCAGAGCAGTGCTGCCTCCAGTAGACGCCCACGTGGCCGACAGAGAGGTAGACACCGCCGTCGAACTCTCGGTGATACCGAAGAACTCGTCCTGGTCGAAGCCAACGTCGTCGAACTCCTGAAAATCCCACTGCCAATCATCAACGCCCAGACAGGAGTCTGCCACAACCTGCTGCTGCGGCAAAGCATGCAAGGGAATGCCATTACGCGGCATCTCAATAAGGTGCATGCACGACTGCAAGCCGCTGTCCACTTTGATTGAAGAGAGGCATAGCCGCCAGACGAGCAGCAGCAGCCCGAAGCCCCTCAAGGTCCTTGGGAACATGCTCAGCCAAATCGGATGGGTAAAACGCCTCCAACGATGCACGCAGCTCCTCCTCCTTGGCATCTGCAATGACCTGGTCCAAAGACTTGGGCTGGGCGCCCCCTGCTGCTGCAGCGGCGGCAGCTCCGCCCCCTGCCCCGGCACTCGGCGTGCCAGACGAGGGGGCGCCTGCTCCGCCATTCGGCGTGCGAGGAGCTTGGAGCGACTGTTCAGCCTGTCCTTCGCGCTTGACCCAGAGCGTGCCCATGCTGTCCGCCAGCACCTGCGCCAGACCCGCCGCCTGCTCCGAGCCGATGCCCTGCGCCTCAAGCATCTTGCCCAAGGCGCCAACATCCATGGCCATGCCCTTGCCCTTCTCGTCGAGCGATGCCGACTCAGGAGCCATCGGCGCCTGCTTCGTGAGCTCCTGCACCTGCGCACTGAGCGACACCACCTCCTTCTCCTGCTCCGTGAGATCCTTCTCAGCCTGCTCCAGACTCTTCTGCATCTTACCGAGTTGAAGTTTCCTCGCTGCCACCAACTCTCTCGAAGCATCCGCCCGCTTCTCCGCCGTCTTGAGCCGATTCGACATGGTCTGCAACTTCGCATACATAGGGCGAGACTCCTGAAGCTTACAGTGCAAACTCTCCTTCTCAGCCCGCAACGACTCCAAATATGCGCCCGCCTTCGACTCACTGCTGTACTTGGACACAAACGCCAGCTGCTCATCAATCTCCTTGAGCCTCTTGCGCATGTCCGCCTCGTCATCCTTCTCGCCAGCGTCGACTTGCATGGGGTCCCCAGACAGGAAGAGCCCACGCTTCGACTCAGCCTGAAGCTCCTTGATCTTCGCCTCGAGCTCACGAATCTTTGCCTGCCCTGCAGCCTCAGCTGACTGGTTCTTCCACGGCGGCATCTTGGGCTCAGCGCGGACTGAAGGCTCCGAGGGCAGAACGTTGCCCCCGAACGTGACTCTTTTCGCCAAGCCGCACAGCACACACTTCTTCGCATGCGCCATGTTCCACCACTGCTTGCCCGTGCGATCATTCTTGCAACACTTGCAATACCACCTGCACGCGGCCTCCTCGCGCGGCCCCATTGCAGCGACGTCTTGGGGCCGCGAGAGCACCTGCTCACCTGCGGGGCCGCAGGAGGCAGCCGATCGACTGGGGCGGACCAGCCGTCGGACAGAAAGCTTGCATCGTCTGGCCGCGGTGACAGTGGTATCCGTGTAAGCCTGGAGGCGGACAGCCTCCCAAGCATTTAGTCTTGAGCCAAAATGGCTACGGAGGAGGAGGAGGAGGAGGAGGAGGAGGAAGAGGAGGAGGAGGAGGAGGAGGAGGAGGAGGAGGAGGAGGAGGAGGAGGAGGAGGAGGAAGAGGAGGTGGGAGGAGGAGGAGGAGTGGAGGAGGAGGAGGAGGAGGAGGAGGGGGAAGGGGAGGGGGAGGAGGAGGAGGAGGGAGGAGGAGGAGAGAGGAGGAGGAGGAGGGCGGTGGAGGAGGTGGAGCGGAGGCGGATAGATGAAGAGGAGGAGGAGGAGGAGGAGGAGGGAGGCGGAGGCAGGAGCAGGCGGAGGTTCAGGAGGAGGATCAGGAGGACCCGTTGTTTGTTCCTAAGTTTTTTATTTTTTGTTTTTTTTCTTATTTTTTCTCCCTGCTCCCCCCCCTGGTGGTAACGCCGCGCAGGTAGCGATTGCAAAACTAATTACCTTTTTGTTTTTGGTTTTTTTTTTTTTTTTTTTTTTTTTTTTTTCCTTTGGGCGCCCGTTCCTGCTGGCCGTCTTGCCTCGGGGGCTCGCAGTGGGGTGGGGTTATCCCAGGGCGGGGTCTGGGAACGCGCCTAGCTGGATGCTCACATCTCCTTCAGCGGCATCATCATCATCACCAACAACAACATCATCACCATCATCACCATCATCATCATCAGCATCATCGTCATCATCATCATCACCATTATCATCACCATCGTCATCATCATCATCATCATCATCAGCATCATCATCATCATCATCATCATTATCATTATATCATCATCATCGTCATCATCATCATCATCGGCATCGTCGGCGTCATCACCATAACAACCACAGTCTACCCAGGAACCATTTAGAACGAGTGTGATGGCCTCATGGCTGGTGCCGCCGACCCTGAAGACGTCAACGACGAGGACGAGGAGGAGGAGGAGGAGGAGGGGGAGGAGGAGCAGGAAGAGGAGGCGGAGGCCGCTGTGGAGCAGCAGGAGTGGGAGCCCAGCTGGATGCTCACATCTCCTTCTCCCAGGAACCGTTGAAAGCGATTTTCCTCCCAACCCCACCTCTGCCCCTACCCACCTTTACGGTAGGTTCTTGTGGCGATTGGGCGCCAGCGACGCCAGCGAAGGCGTTCGAGGTTTAATTCAGCACAACAGGGCGACGCGGAACCACTGAGGGGCACGGCGACGCCACAGGATCTGACCGAATTCAACCCTGAACGATCGGGGCCGCGATCGGTTCAAGGTTGCACGATCGACGCGGTGCCAACAAGCCTTGGCGCGAGCCGACGACGCACGTACGTACCCACCGTGCGTCCGCCCGACTGCCGCGTCCAGCCCCCCGTAGACGCGCTAACGATGTGTTAGCTAACAACAACAACGTGTAGGAAGGCGTGGCTCGTGGCCAAAGCCAATTGCAGGAACGCGTGGCCCGTGACTTCCTGCAGCCCGCTGTGTCGCTTTTGTTCGATACAGTCGCACACTTGGAATGTAGGCAACGGTGTTTCGTGATTTCCTACGTTTTGTTCTGCTTGAGCTCGGTGCCACAAAAACCGAGCACGCTGTTAGCGCGGCTCTGGTTCCAGCAGCTGCCCCTCGCCGAGAGCGCTGCGGGGGTGCCCGGATCGTTCCGAAGGCCCGCCGGCGAGCCGAGCTCTGAGCCGAGAGCCATGGGGCAACGCCGGGGGGGATAGGCTTCAGTCGTGATTTCCTACATTTTGTGATGGGCCTGTCTTCCACCACCACCACCACCATAAGTTGGAGGGGGAGGGGGTCCTCCTCCTCCTCCTTCTCCTCCTCCTCCTCCTCCTCTTCGTCCTCCTGCTCCTCGTCCTCCGCCTCATTCCCCCCTCAAACTTATGGTGGTGGTGGCGGAAGACGGGCCCATCGTTTTGTCCCTGGGTCTCGGCCCGAGCGCCTGCTGCAGGGGTTTCTCCAGGCCTCGGGGCCGCGAGTGGCGAGGAGGCCCCTGGGCGACCCGCCGGGGCCCCGCCCGGCGGCGCCACGCCCTTGGGGGCGGCGACGGGGAGGAACCTACAGCGCCGGTTTTAATAATGCAGGGAAGCGATTGAAAGAATCGCCTCCCCCCCCCCCTCCCGGACTAATAGAATTCAGCCGCCGGAAACTGTTTTTTAAATCGTCCGCCCCCCGGCGTTTGCTTTTGCCCCTTTGGGGGAACTGATTTTCTATTCGTTCTCCTTCGCTCGCTTGATCACCCGCGGCCGCGGGGGGAGGATTGCGGAGGGGGGAAGGGGTAATTAGGGAAGGGGTTTTCGAAGAGGCGCCTGATCACCCTCGTCCTTGCGGACGGCCGCCGGTCGTCCTTGCGGACGGCCGCGGCGATTGGGAGGTGGGGGAGGAGGAGGAGGAGGAGGAGGAGGAGGAGGAGGAGGAGGAGGAGGAGGAGGAGGAGGAGGAGGAGGAGGAGGTGGAGGAGGAAGGAGGAGGAGGAGAGGAGGGGGAGGATGAGATGGAGGAGCGGGACGGGGCAAGATAGGTTGCGCTCGCGCCATATTGACAGCCTCAGCCTTACCCCTCCCTCAAATCCTTCCATAGCCGTTTGATCCCCTCTCTACTCGCAGAGGTGGATGACGAGCCGGGCAATGATCCCGAAAGGGCAACGCGATTTTTTATATGCAGGGTTTGAGCGCGGCGTTGGCCACAGGTTGCGTGGAGGGCAGTTGATAGAGCACCGACACACAAAAACGTTGTAGTATGTCTCAGCATGGCGTGGCGCGGTGGAGTAGTGCTGAATTGCTTTCACAAATCTTTGCAATCGCAAGGCCTTGGCACGCACACGGCCCCGGAACATAACTTTGCCATTAGCACGGGGTTTTTGGCGTTGTTTTGGAGATCAAATGCGTTGGCATTGGAAGAGCACGACCGTGGCAGTTCGTAGCCTCAGACGGTCGCTGCTTGGCCTTCCTGGCGATGCTCGGAAAGGTCAGCCACACCCGGTCTGCCTAGCACTGCCACCCGCTATGGCGGGGGACGTGGAGGGCCTTCCGCGTACGACAACGTACGATACTTTTGTTTTTAATCGTCCGCCCCAGAAAGTGTTTCTTTTGTGTGAAAACATAAAAAATCGTTTCCCTTCATTACATGCTCGCGTGCGGAACATGTAGTAAAAATAAAGGGTTGATTTACAAATACAAGGATGAGCCCATGCGCACATTTATTCATACCGTAACCATGAATTAAACATCTTATATGCTTCAAATTCCAATGTATCAGAAACTGCCCTGTACCTTTGTGGGCAGGAGGAGCAGGCACAGCCTCACCTTATGCTGTTCCTGCTTAGTTTCTAGCCTGGATCGCCAGGGAGAGTTTCGAGCACGACGGAAACACCGAAACTCGAGGGTTGCGAAACGCTCGCCCGACACTGTTTCGACACTCATTCGACACTTTTCCGGGTGCTCGACAGCTTTTGGGATGTGGTCCTTAAGTACGATGGGAGCAACATAACCTCACCCCTGTGTTCGCGGAGTGCAGGAATTGGTGGGAACATTCTTTTCCGCGGAGAGCCAGAATTCAGCGGGGAAGCGAAGGACTCGAGTAAGTCGGGATTCGGGTCTGCCGACGTTTGTTGACGGGCGCGTCCTGGCTTTGACGGCCCAGTTCTCGTGGGGTGTTTGCAGCGGGAGTTCGCGTCGAATTTCAGACTGGGTCTCGTCATCTTGATGGTGGCCCCGTCAGGCTAACCCGAGTCCCCCGTACCCGAGTCTTACGTCTCCCCGAATTGAGCGCAGCAACCTAATACACACATTAGAAGCAATGGGCTCGCTTTCGGTGGCCGCCTTTTGTTTCCAGACATCGCCGTCTCCCCCCCGTACTGATACTATGTGTGCGCCGCCTCCCAGGAGCAGCGCGCGCGCCGTTCAGTCTTATATAGCATACACTCCGTGGCGGGCGCTTTGTGGCCACACCGCTCTGGAAAACGACGCACTACACGATGGTTGTACTATCTGTTCGGGTCGGACGCGCGCCTCCGAGGAGAACACATACCGTTGTTGGCGTACAAAGGGCCCATCCACAGACGTTGCGTCGACGGTGCCGCCCCCGGACCCTCCATTCCAATGTTGCGTTCGCGACAGTTCTCGGGGTGCAAGCATCGGCTTACAAAAACGCCCCAAACTCCACCGCCAAGGTAATCCCATTTTCAGCATCGACATTGGGGGGCACGGGGGTTCTGAACACAGCAGCATTGTCCATGGAGCCTGTGGGGCGTTTCTTTTACGCCAGCGGCGGTAATATTAGCTTGTCCTTGTGTTCCCATAAACAAGCATCCGAGTAGGGGATCGACTACATAACCGATCTACCCCAAACTTGATTTTCCCCTCGAACCCACGGGACACGCACGTAAAACAGTCCGCAGCTCTGCGGAGCACTGCGTGGGCACGTCTCGTGGATCCGGTTGGAAAAATCGGTTTTCAGGGAAACCGATCCTGCCGTCGATCCCACCCTCCTCTCCCCCTCCTCCTCCCCCTCCTCCTCCTCCTGGTCCTCCTCCTCCTCCTCCTCCTCCTCCTTCTCCTCCTCCTCCTCCTCCTCCTCCTCCTCCTCCTCCTCCTCCCCCTCCTCCATTCGACAACATTGCCTCCGGTGAGCCCCTGCTGGCCGCCTGCCGCGCCCAGCCGCCGCGGCACGGCGCCGTGGGCGCGATGCTGGCCGCGCGCGCGCCGCCCAGCGCGCGGCCCGCGCCGCGGCGGCGGCCGCCTTCGGCGCGCGGCGGGCGGCCCGCCCGCGGCGGCATGCGATATGGGCGAGGCTGCGGCCGCGGGATGCCGACCCCCTCCCACCACGGGGCGGGGGGGGTCGTTTCGAGTCCTCGGATCCTCTTCCGCTCCTCCG